GTTTACACTAACAAAAAAAAATCTGGCTAAAACTATCATTACATGTAAAGAAATATCTCTTTTCCAACTACTCACTCCATCAGCTTGATTCCTGCTCATAAACATAGTTATCTATGTCATAAACAAACAACTCTAAGACCTGTAAAAATCCACGACGTCTATCTGCTTCGCCTTCGGTTTTCAAGGTGACTCAAGTGTCTTGAAAAACATGTTTTCTCTTAAAAAAATTGCTCCTTACAATGCACAGTCCCATCTTTTGCACGAAGCTTCAAGTTTCAAAACATTGATATGTAGGTTTCCAACAAAAACTACAAAGAAACCCGAGAAAAATCAATGAAAGATCAACCAAGTTTATGGCAGTGAATAGAGCGGATTTCGTATGAGTGGGAAACGTATGTGGCAGCGCGGCGACGGAGCGACGAAAAGGAGCGACATTATCGGTCGACCATCGGAAAAATGTCGAGCGATACGACTGTTTACGAAAGCTCTCGAAGTCTATACGAAAAAAAACGATAGGGAGGGATAGACACTGTACCTGGGGCGCACATCGGTCCATCACGTGACCAGTGTTTCATACCTTGTCACAGACTAGTTTGTATCCCGCGAGGCGCGCGATAGTGACGTAATACCACAGGTAACCCACAGCGCGCGCCGATTCGATAACATATATAAAAGCGTGCGCATTCATTCTTTTCTTTCTCTCAAGCAATAGTTGGGTAGCCTATGGTGAGATCAGCGTTCTAGGGTTGATTCATTTTCTTGATCATATTGTTTTTCTTGGTCACAAACCAGGTCACAGTAGCTATAAAGTGAAGCTACGAGGCCTACTGAAGTACAAAACTCAAATATTTTTTACTTCAGGGAATTGTTCTGGAATTTGAGTTAAAGAGGATAAAGGATAGCCTCCTTCGCAGGAAACTCTACTCCGTGGGATTCCTGTGTTAAGGCAAAAAAGCTGCCGGAGGGGGAGGGGCTAGGAAGGAAGGAAAAGAAGCAGGGTGAATTCACTCGTCCATAGACTTCGATTTACGGCAGGCTACTCCTCTTGTTCGTTAATTCCTAATCTCTCGACASCAGTTCTTCTCGGTCRAGAAWATGAACACAGKAAGACCAAGAAGAGAAAAATGTCCGTTTCCGATGGAGTAGCCTGCGAAGGAGGCTACAAAGATAAAGGAATACTTGGCCACAACGCTCCCGTATGCATTTGACAGACCGCTGTGTTCTCACCGATGCATATTGGATACACTACAGAACAACTGTCAACAATCGCGGTTTCTTGTGAATATCGCAAGACAATTGGAAACATATGACTTTGAATAATTTCTGTTATGTTAGTTTTTTGAACTTATAAGCCAATTAAAGCAATAGAGCGGATTTCGTATGGCTGTGCAACGGCACGGATCACAACACGGACACGGCACGGCACGGCACGGTCACGGAACCTCGCCTTCTAGGATTCCAAATAAAAACTAGACCCTGACATCAAGGTGTATTCGTGCCCTAAAGGTGTTGAAAAGTGCTGGCCTATGCAGTACTTTTCAAATTGAGTTCATTTGAAACTTTTCTCTTGTTCGCCTACATGACCAACCATGTATTTCTCAATTTTCAAAAATTGCTCGCCCGAGTTGACGCTCTAAGCGGCGGGTCTGGTTTAGATATAGAGAGTCTACCAAAGGCATGCAGTTCATCTATAGGAACTGATATCAAATATGTTAAGAGTAAAATTTGTGAAAGTAACTCCTTCTTGATTACATTTAGCAGTTTTTGAAGGAACTAGATATACAATAGTTTTTGACAAATCTTTAAAGCGTAGACACGGTTATACATCGCACGGCAATGCAGACGTGACTCAAATCGTTCACTCTGATAGTCTTTCGTGTGAAACAAAGCTAGTAAAAATATGGATAGACTTATTCTAATTATAGTAATTTAAAGGTCAAGTATACCCAGTATCAGAATCAGACAGTTTGGCGCCGTGGCCCCGCTCTACAAAATCATTCTTCATCTAGGAATACTCCTCCGTGAAAATGAACTATTTGGCTTGGCGATACACCAATCTTTATGACTTAAACCAATTTCTACATGCTCTTACACAGATGAATGTTTTGGACTGACATAAGGTCTCGAACATCAAAGAATTCTAAAAAGCTTCAGTGACTCTCCTATTCTATGGTACGCTTGTTTACAGCCGAGTTCGTAATGTGATATTTCGTATAGAGATCGGAGGGCAATCGGGAGACCCGAAGGCAAACTTCTGACTTGGAAAAAAAACATACGCGCTGCATTTTATGATTCGTGACTCGCCCTAGGGCCTGGTTTTCACGAGTAATAAAGATTTAACAATACATCACCGCTACGGCACGGTAAGGTCACAGCGCGAAAGTACTGTGTTTTTTGCACAGTCATACGAAATCCGCTCTAATCGGTATTACGTGCAAAACTATGCACAAACAACTCCAAATTTGGTTTAGTTTTGAGATGTTACAAAACATGGAAGTCGAAGGTCACAGTCTCTATTTTTATTACAAGCTAGTGACTGACTGACAGCTGGCTTATATCTGTTTCTATTGGTGGGTTTGCTTTGTAGGAGTGTTCGACACAGCGTCTAATACCACGTCAAACCCATACAGAAGTCAGTCAAGAACAGATTTTGCGGCACTCCTTAAATTCTTCGATAGCTCACCGCTTT